GCGAGCAAGGAGGCTGGATGATTACCCGTGAAGCCCTCGCTATGAGGCCGATCGGGGTAGAGGCGACTCCCGCGGCCGATGGGAGACAGAACAGGGTCAACGAGATGGATATACGGACGATTGATACGAGGGATCGGACCGAGATGGATATAGGGACGACAGATACGAGAGGTCGGGTCGAGATGGCTACAGAGGAAGTAGATATGAGAGAGGAGATCGGGACTGGGAACAACAAGATGGGTCGCGCGGACGGTTTGAGCGCGGGGGAGATGCGAGAGAGCAGCGGGACGAGTCGTGGGGGTGGTACAACCGAGGGGACCGACGCGATGAGTCACGAGGACGATATGACTCGGGGGACCGCCGGAATGATTCGCGAGGGCGGTATGAGCAAGGAGGGTTTGGAGGAAACCGGCGCAACGATCCGCGCGGTCGGAATGAGAGAGGGGGATATGGCGTCTCATCAGAACCATATCCCAAGTCGCCTGACCCCAAGGCGGCCAGGAGTTCGATCTCTAGAGGCACAGACGATAGTGCATCTACTCCCAGGAACTCATGCGTCTACTATGGAGGAGAAGATCATATCAAGAGGGATTGTCCGGACCTCAAACGGGCAATAGATGAGAGACTTGTTGTGCTTGACGACCGCAAGTACGTCAAGTGGGCAGATGATCTGGGAGATGTATCGATGTTCCCTTCGATGAAGGAGAATGTCGAAGCGAGGAGAATAAAGACGAGTAAAGGAATGGAGCCGGTCAGGAGCCAGAGCATCAAGATAACCTTTGAGGGGGATATCGCGACTACACCCATAAGGGTGGCAGCCACCAAGTCGGCAAGAGGGTCTACATCGAAGAAGACTGACACGGATTACGTGATGGCGGAGAAGGACGGGCAGCTTGTCGATGGAGAGGAGGTTATCCTTTCGCCACGAAAGCGGGGAGTGAAGAAGTTCTTAATGAAGAGTTCGCTGGACGAGACTGACACGGTCGAGCCACTGAGGCGGGCCCTTCGGCAACCCATGCAGTGCTCTATTCTGGAGTACCTGACGGCATCGAAGCCGGCTCGTGATGAATGATAGATGATCACGCAGAAGACTCTTATACCTCTATCAGAGGAGGGTCAAGCGGCCCCTAAGGCGGAAGCTTCTACAATAGCAGTAACGGGGGTGACTGCAAGAGCGGATCGCATGGCGACAGTCCTTCTCGATGGAATGGAAGGAGTGTCTCCAGACAAGTTTTATATACTTGGTAGCGGGGCCGTGGAGACGATTAGAAACGATGGAGCGGTACTCCATGCTGTGATTGATAACGACACTGAGGCTGTCATCATAGATGAGGACCTGGGAGTACAAGTTGGACTGGGCCTCGATAGGTCATACCTATTCGAGATAGAGACGGCTGATGGGAGAAAGCAACAGATCACTGGGGTTTGTCACAAGGCAGCCATAGAGGTCCAAGGGGTACGAGTGACCCTGCCTGTCTTTGCAGTCAAGAACTGCAGCTCCGACCTGCTCTTGGGTCGAACGTGGCTGAGCCACGAGCGACCTGATGGGAACCAAACATTGTCCATTAAGAAGCCAGACGGGACGCGGGTAATGATTGAGACAGTGGAGCCTCGGGACCCGAGGAACAGAGCAGCTCTCGCKGTGGGTGCAAGACCCAGTGATCAGATTAAGTCGTTGCCTATCTCCAGCCGCGCGGTGCGATTTCGCGAGAAGAAATATGGACCACTGCTCACAGAGGAACAAGGTCGGATCGTGGAAGTGGAAGACTTAGGGAGTCTGCTAATAGTGGACGGCGACTCGTACCCAAAGGAAAAAGATGAGGAATTTGGCAGTGTGGTATCCGTGTCTTTTTTAAGGGCACGGCCCCCTATGGGGGGCTACCCAAGCGACACAAACGAGTAGCACAAAAAGTTAAGCCAGCGGCGGTGGGCCGCGAGCGATCTGCACTAGAAGGGATATCGGAAGAAGAGATCGCAAAAGAAATCAAAGAAAGAAAAAAAAACGAGCCGCAACGACTAACGGAAGAGAGGATACCAGGGATGGACATCGGAGATGGGAATCTGACCCCACAGGAGCGAGAACGTGTGATAGAAATCCTGAAGACATGTGATAAGGCCATAGCTTTTAGTGACGCGGAGCGCGGTAGGGTTGACCCTCGATATGCTAAGCCAACAAGGATTTACACGATACCACATGTTCCCTAGAATGACGCGGGATGAAAATACGCCTTGAAGGAGAAGGAAGAAGTTATCGCTTTCCTGAAAGAAAAGATGGTTTCCCATGTTGCGGAGCAGTCTGATAGCGCTTATGCTTATCGATGGTTTTTCCTACGAAAGCCGAATGGCAAGATCCGATGGATCCAGGACCTTCAAAAGGTTAACGCGGTAACGATGCGAGACGTGGGCTCCTTGCCACACGCCGATTTACTGGTAGAAGGCGTCGCAGGTAGGTCGATTTATTCGGACTGTAATCTGTTCTCAGGCTATGATGAGGTGCCACTTGACCCTAGAGACACGCACCTCACGGCTATGCATACGCCATTGGGACTAATACAGATGATGGTTGTCCCTATGGGTTGGACTAATGGGGTAGCCGTTTTTCAGAGAGCCATGGTAGCCTTCCTCAAGGACTTCATCCCTGATAAGGTTGAAGTTTTTCTGGATGACTTTCCTATAAAAGGGCCAGTAGACAGGGATGAGACAGAGGTTGTACCTGGAGTTAGGAGATTCGCCGAGCAGCACCTAACAATTATTTGCGCGGTACTCGAGCAGCTGGACGATGCGAATTTAACAGTCAGCGGAACAAAGAGCCGATGGGCCGTCTCAACTATTAAGATCTTGGGTTTTATCTGTGACTCCAGAGGACGCCAAGCAGATCCGGCGAAGTTAGACAAACTTCTGAACTGGCCCGCACCGTTACTTAGCCCAACCGAGGTCCGGCAGTTTCTAGGAGTGGTCGGTTACTGGCGTATATTCATACGGGGGTATGCGGAGACATTGAGGTTACTCCTTCGAAAGACTGAAAACTTCTATTGGAATTTTTTGCAGGAACTTGCTATGCAAGAACTTAAAGACGAATTTAAGGAAGGAGGATGCGTGTTGGGTGTGCCATTCTTTGACGATGAGACCGAGAGACCCTTCATAGTATCCACGGATGCTGGACCATGTTCAGTGGGTGGTTTGTTGTCTTAGAAGGACGCTTGAGGGACGGAAAGACCGTTAAGATTTGAGAGTAGGACACTTAATACGGCTGAGCGTAACTACAATCAATTCAAGAAGGAAGTGTTAGCTGTTCTCCGGTGTCTAGACACGTTCAGACACTATATCTATGGGCGACGGTTCATCTTGAGAGTAGACCCCACCGTGATTGTCTCTGTCCTCCAGAAGGACTTTAGTCTGACGGACTCGACCATCGCCCGATGGTTAATACGGATTCGGCTATACGATTACACGGTTTAGAGAATATCTGGTACTGAGAATGTCGTGGCAGATGGACTTTCACGCATCCCTCTCGAGCGTCCGATAGTAGCTGGGGCTCTGACAATGGCAGAGTCGAGACGCGCCGAGAGATTTCTAGTTAATCTTTACGAGGGCAAGTACCGAATGATTGGACTACACCTGACGAGAGAGGAGAGTCAAGATTCAGATATCCGGAGGCAAGCAGCCCAGTACTGCCTTAGAGCGGGCCACCTTTTCCGAAGGCCAGTAGGGTCGGGAATGCCCTTACGAGTAGTCAGTGATCCTGAGGAGAGACAGATGATAGTTGCAGAACTTCACGATGGGGTAGTCGGAGGACACAGGGGAGTTAAAGGAACCTACGAAAAGATACGCCGGCTGTACTGGTGGGATGGACAGTATAAGGACGTCGAGAGGTACTGTATGACATGCGAAGA